TTACACATAACATTAACATTTGCAACTCATAATTTACCTCAACCACAATGGAAGGAAACTTTAATTTATGGTTTCTTAAGTAGGCGAGGCCGCCAGAGGGCACAAAAAAGATTGCTAGCCCCAAGGAAAGTTATGTATCACCCATCATTTTGGGATAACAAAAAAAGAAGAAAAAAAAAAAAACCACGAAGGTTACTATACCTTTACTTCCTTTTTGTTATCAAGCATGGTAGTAAGTTCATCAGTAGATGACGCAGCCACAATGGAAAGTGTTTCCCTCCTCTCCTCTTGCTGCAACTGCTTTTGGTGTCTGAGGTCTTCGATGACGCGTCTTTCATGTGTAAGAGCTTTCTTTAACAATCTGTTTCTCATCTGTTAGAAGTTTGTTAAAGGATCGAAGTGCTAGTCAAGAGGATTTGAGAGGTGTTGTCGCAACGGAATTGGTTGGCTATTAAAAAAAAACTGACTCTTTCCTTGAAAGCTTTCTTAATTGTGGTCCCAAGTTTTTAAGTTTGAAATTTTCAGTGGTAGTCGAAGTTGTGGCAGAAAAACAGAAACTTGTCAGATCGTCTGGTGATTTACCGTGATTGTTAAAACTGCTAAGTAAAAAGTCTGTACAAGATGGGGAGCGCCACATAGCTTAAATAGCTTTGAAATAAATGGAATGACACCTTTTACTGTCAGGCTGCGATATGAGGCCCTTGGGTCTATACTTTTAATCTACAATGCTCCATCAAAGGTAAAATCACTTTAATGCACCCATGAGCGTTTGCATGATCAGAACTTGCAATTTTCACCACCAAAACTAAAACACACGGGGAATTTTTCGAAAAGTTTCGTTTTCAAAATGCTTTCCACTCATTCAAATGCCAAGCCAATGCTTTCTCATCTATTCATTTTAGAGGGCTCTCTGGAAAAGTTTCATTTCCAGGAGACATTTTTTCAGCACTGGGTTGACATAATTTCTCTTCAATATTATTACAATATCAAGCAGGAAAATTATAAGAATAGAGAGGAGTATTGTCAAGAGAAAGGTTAAGAGTTAGTTCTTATTAGCCGAGCGGGAGGTCTGTATGGGAGAATCTTGAACGAGGTCGCCAGTACAGACCGAACGCATTGATTCTCCCATACATACCGACCTAGCTCGGTTAATAAGATGTTTATTATATGGCTGTGTCTTATATGCCAATTTTTTATATTCTTTGTACTTTTTTTTCT